CGTGACAAGAGGCGCGCGCCGTGGTTTTGGGGCTGGCAGCACTACTGGCCCTCCGCGCGTCGCAGGGCGACGCGGACGAGAGGAGAGCGGCGCCGCGCGCCCTTCTGCCCCGCCTCCAGCGGAAGCACGGCCACGTGCAAGGTTACCTGATTGGATAAGGTTTGGCATTCCGATATGCTTTCAAAACATACGGAGTCATAATCCGACCGCCGTGCTGATGGAGCTGCGAACGCTCCACTTGCGCTGGCATCGCGCCTCTGAACCAAAGATGCGTGCAATATTGTCTCGCGTAAGAACTGGCGTTGCACGATGAAACATGGAAAATGGGGCGCTTGATTCCTGCCGCGAGCGCAGGGCCTGGGAGGAGACCGGCGAGACTGTCACGTCTTCGATGCAGCCCCTTGGGAAATTCAACGAGGGAGTCGAGTGTGATTTGATGTTCTACAAGCAACATTATGTTTCACATCGTCGACCGATGCACCCGCTGGGCTGCGGGCCAAGAAATTACCGACAGGACGACGCATGCGATATTACATGTCCACGCAATTGCTGGTTGCACTCCGGCGGCGAATGGGGCTCTGAACAAAGATGTTGCCCAAGCTATCCTAAAGGCAACAGGCACATAACTTCGCATTCGAGCTCGAGGCCAGCATGCCACCACCATCGAAGCACGCAGTGGCATCCTAAGACACACCCCGTTATGTTTTGGGAGAAGAACTAAAGCGACACAACAGACCATTGGTCTTTGCACGATTACTGCGCGAAGGTCGATGTGTCTGCAATGTCTTGCTTTCTACAACGGGGCATCTCCATGCTTGGCACTGCGCGGACAACGTCGGGCCTGTTTACCAGACCTGCCAGTATTGGACCACCAACAGGGGGCGGAAACGTCAGACCACAATGGGGAAAAGAGAATCATACGAATAAGCATTGAGGCTATCACACAAGCCACTGCAGTAGCCAAACCAATAGAACCCACGCAAAAAAACGACAGCAGCGGACCACCACAATTATCGGCCAGGGGATCTCGCGGACTACCACCGTCCGACCACTACCAAGGACGATTGGGGGGGGCGGAACGGACCATGCCCTATCGCCCGTAACTGCCCTGGCCGCGGTCAAACAGCAGCACCGGTCGGAGGTCGGGAAGTCCTGGTGCAACGCCCAGACTTACGACGCACTCTACATATATATATATATATAGACAACCCGCGAAAATCAGCCCGAGCACAACGGCAATGCGAACGGCATCGGCCTTTGTATCGCGAGTTTGCCAGCGGGGGAACCTGCCGTGGTCTTCGGCTGCCTGCCGCCCAGCAGAGGCGCCTGCGGATGACAGCAGTGAGTCGTCGCTCGCCCAGATAGCACTTAGCCTTGCAGTTCCTCATCGGAAACGGCGATAGGACAGAAAACGTTATAACTGTACGTCTGGCCACAGTCATCCACGCGTTGCCAGCAGCATTTTGCGGTGATAGCTGTGCCCAGGTATGCTATGATAACGACGTTGCACCAGGATGCCACAAGCACGAATCGGAAGGCACCGCTCTCAACATGTACGACATCGCTGGCACCGCACATGCACGCGTCACTCAGCGCTTAAAGTCATTGTAACCTTCGGCGAGCTTTGATGAGAACCTCTCAAAGTTTGAGGACCTTGCGGACGCGCTGGCGACGGACGGCCGCGCCCAGGAGGGGGACAGACCTCCGGCACCGACCGCCCCCGACGGTAGACTACCACACATGGCTGAATAACTTCGAACGGATCTGGAAGAGCATATCATGGACGCGCGGTATGTGGAGCTGCAAGAGGAACCGGACGTACTCGAGACCCCCTCATGGGAGCCTCTGCGTTCGGTGCCCACCGAGATGGTCACCGACAACTGCGCGCTCGCGGCTGCGGCCAGTGAAGAGCAAGGACACTGGCGAGAAATAGGTTATGCTCGGAAACACGACGCCGACGAAACCTTTCTGGCACCTTGGACTACGAGCGACAAAGGCGAATGGCACGAGCAATGCGAATGCGCCGTGTTCTACGTGGCTTCATGGGCGCCGAGGCATTCGACGTAGAAACCTGTTCAGGCACAGCTCGGCGAGCAAGCCAAAGATTGCTCGCCAGCGCGGCCGCGCGTAATCATCAGTGAATCATGGCATCCATGGACATCGACAGCGCTTCCTTGAAGGGTCAGACCTACAGTGAGTTGGCAGGGGCCACCGGTGAGACACAGCGCGTGGTGCGCTTCACTCTTCCACCTGATTCATCCTCGATGCTGCGCACGCTGCCCGGGTTCTCGCCCTATGACGAGACAAAGCATTTTCTTCAGTGTCTTCAACCAGGCGCAGGCGCCAAATATTCCTCCAGGGCGTTGTCACTGAAGCTGAGAATCATCGCGCGAGGTGACGGGCTGAAACCCACATCGCACGATGGAGAACACGAGACAAGTCCAACCCTTCTGACAGCCAAGCACGTCGACGACATCAACGTGGCAGGAGTGACGGAAACCATTGGCAAGCGCGTCAAATGTGTAGAAGGTACGTTCGGCGCACGTAAAGTGAGCAAACACTGTTACACCAATTGCGCCGCGTGATGCACTGGGGCCGAGGGCGGCCGCGTCCAGCTAGAGCAGGATGAATGCATCAAACAGGTTCGCCCGACACAGCAACCACGACTTACGGGCGTTGTAGCGGAAGAAAAGGCAACGAAGGCAGTATCGGACATGTTCATCAGTTTACGTGGCGCCTTGGCATACGCATCGACTGTTCAAGTGTTGTTAACGTTTTACGTGGCATCTTTGCAACGCGCACAGGAACCCACGAACTTCCGAGCACGAAGACTGAACGCTGTCACGCGCAAACTGCAGCAGGGCCCGCTAGGACTAGAACATCAATGTATGACTCCGACAGGAGAAGTGGACTTTCATAGTGACTCTGGCTATCGCCGCCTCCATGGGGAGAAAGATGACGAAGTAAAAGGGGTGCGGCGTCCGAGGGGCCAACCTTTTACTGCTTGAACGCGCGCCCAACGGTGAAGCCGGTGTACATCTGGGCGGCGCATGCTGCAAGTCGCATCGCATGCAGGTGCGTCCCAGCTACTCAGCTGAGACATTGACAGCCGCTCGTGATCTTGAGTGCTGCTATCCTACCGTAGTTACGCTGCGCGAGCTTAACGCTGGACCCCTAATGCGAACATTCTGGAGTTAGGTAGTCTCAGCATTATGGCTATTCTTAACATAGTCGCTGAGTCGGTTTTCAAATTGTTGTCGAGTAAGGACTTGAAGAAGCCGACCGAATGTACCTTGCTGGGGCAGATCAGCTGGATAAGACAGATGACGGGCCGAGGTGTAGTTCATGCAGTATAATGGTGCGATGCGCGAGACATGACCGCTGACGGCCATGCCGGGGCGCGCGTCGATTGCGCGCCGTTGCTTCAGGTGACGGAAGGACATCAACCCTCCAAGTGCGAAGTAGAGGAGCACGCGCCTCATAGAGGTAGGAAAGACACAGCGCCAACCTAGGGGCGCCCTGTTCAGGGCCAGCGGACACCAATGTGGATGACTATTAACATTCAGATAAGTAGTTCCCCTTGCCCGGACACGGTCGTTCATACCTACGCATGGTCATCCTCGCCTGGCCACGGGCGCGGGTTCTCGCGACGCTGCAGCTACCATGGGTGCCTGGACGCGGGCAGTATCTTCTTTTGCTGTAGAGGGGATTTGGCCGCTGGGTCGTATCCCCTCGCCCGCTGCGCGCGTTGGCGGCAGGCATTTGGCCAGTCGCCCCCCTCGATCATCTGCGGATTGTCATGCAGTCTTGCCCGTGGCCATCCATGCTTAGTTATCTGCGGCTGGTCGCGGCAGCGCGCCATGGCCATCCCCCATGCCTCGTGCGATTGACCTTGCGCTTGCCTTCGCGCTGCGGGGGATGAACAATATATTCCGTACTCTTTTTTTTTAAACCTGACGTAAAGAACTAGGACAAGGATCTAGCGTTCGCCCTCTCCCCCCGATGTTAAACGAGGCTTTAGGAGAGGCTGTGCAGCGAACGCTATATCCGACGATGTCTCGGCTCAAAGCAGCGCTGTCCAATGTGCTGGGCGCGCGTGGCTCTGCGCACCTGTCTTGGGAACGTAGCAGCAGACGAAACTACGTCCTTTTATGATCCATCTCCCGTGGCCTCTCTCTTGAATATCCTTTCGTTTACCATCGAGGGATGAGTTGTTGGGCGCCTCGATGCGTCGCCGACGTTATCTTAAGAGTAGGGCTCTCAGCTTCTTACCTCATGGTCAAGCCCTGCACCGTTCCTGTTTATTGAAATATTGCATGAACATTTGGTAAATCAACGATGTGTCCTCTTGGGGCCCTCTTAGGAGTGCACCTGGAGGCTTGTTGGGGCATCCTGTTGGGTTAGTTATTGGACCGTGTGGAGGCCGTCAATACGTCTTGGACAGACCGTTCGGCGATTCGGGTATCTCCTGGACCATCTTGACTGCTTCGTGGGGCACTATTGGATTGTCTTGGGGTTCTCTTTGGGCCCCAGGATCCCCCATGAGAGAATCGCATTTGGCCCAGGACCCCCGGGACCTTCCTCCGGGAATGGCATTCTGACCCGGGCCCCCTTGGGACCCGCTCCCAGGTCTCCCCCGGGACCCCGCCCCGGCGGGGCAGGGATCAAGTGAAGGAGGTTCCGTTCGAGCGATTTGCAACGTTCGTTATTGTCGTGTTGGCTAGCACGCTTGAAGAGAATGTCCCAGGGTCAGGGAGGGAACGGGTGGCGCGTTGGAGAAGGAGACCCAGGAGAAAGCTTGGAATGGCGACGGCGACGGCGACGACGAGGAGACGACGAATGAAGCATCATTTCAGCAGCTCGGTTGTACATGCTATCTGGTCCCCTCCACCTTGTTTTGGTCCCCCTGCTTGTTCCCTGGCCCCCGCCCGGTTTCTGCTGACCACCTGCCTGCCTGCTCTCTGGTCTTTCGCCAGCTCCTTTCTTCCGCAGCCGAGCAGGCGGCAAGAGGCCAGAAACCGTCCGATGGATTTCCTGCTGAACCAGTGCAAGGCGCGGGCACCCTCTTCGACGCGAGGGGCAGCCCTGACCGCCGACGTATTCATTTGTTTTCCATGCTCGGTGTCCTCGGCCTCCCTCCCTCCGCCCACGACGGCCCTTCCTCGCCATCCCCTGGTGTTGCCTAGCTCCGCCGTGTTTTCCAGCTGCAGCCCCGACCGCAAAACTCGTTTACGTTCAGTTGCCCCGCAGGCCGCAGGCCAAACGAGTTTTCAGTGCGCTGGCCCTCTTGGTGGTCTCGACCCCTTTCCCAAATACAGACTTTTCGATTAGGCTTCTTTGTCTGAGCCCCAGGGTCCGGAAAGTGCCTTCGGAGGCAGAAAACAACGAGCCACATTGTTTTTCGAGACGACGGAGGTCTCGGGGCGAGCCGATCCATGCGTGAGCTTGCCGATCCATGCGTGAGCCGATCTATTTCCCAACCATCCTGTGGTGTTGGATCCTCGTTTTGGAGAGACAGCGCCCTGCGTCCTCTCCTCCTCTCCCCTCCTCCCCTCCCCCCTCCTCCCTCTTCCCAGTCCTGCCTCTGCTCTCCGCCTGCCGCTATTCTGGTACACCCCTCACACGGTTCTTGGCCCCGTATGGAGCTCCACCGACGGCCCCAGTGGCAGGGTCCGCATGCGCCCGACGCCCAAGTTGGCACACCCCTCACACTGTTCGTGGCCCCATACGGAGCCCCACGAAGGCCCTAGTAGCAGGGTCCGCATGCGCCCGACGCCTTATTTGGCACAACCCTCACCGCTTCGTGGCCCCATACGGAGCTACACCGAAGGCCCCAGTGGCAGGGTTCGCATGCGCCCGACGCTCATTTTAGTAGACCCTTCACACGGTTCATGGCCCCGTATAGAGCTCCACCGAAGGCCCCAGTGGCAGGGCCCGCATGCGCCCGACGCCTAATTTGGCACACCCTTCACACGGTCGATTTGCGGCCCCATACGGAGCTCCACCGAAGGCCCCAGTGGCAGGGTTCGTTTGCGCCCGATGCCCATTTTAGCACACCTTTCACGCGGTTAGTGGCCCCATAGGGAGCTCCACCGACAGCGGTGCCCACAGTGAGTTATTATTCACAATTGCATATGGTTGGGTCCCTCGCCAGGGTAATTTTTCATCGCTTTGCTCATTCCGCCGGCAAAGTCTACTCCACTGCCTTTGCGGCGTCTGCCCGCGTGTTCATTGCCTTCGCAGCGCTGATGGGTGGTGGTAGGTTCCTTGAAGTGTTGCGTGAGCAATCATGGGTGTCTCAGAGCAGAGGGCTCGGACTCCCCCTGAGGCCTTTCTTGGACCGCCTAAGAAGCTTCTTTGGGGCTCCATGTAGCATCGTTAGCACTTGCCTGCATGCTCGCGGGGGTATGTTTGGAGCCTCGCGAGGCCTCTAGGGGGGATTTTTCTGGGCGCCCGTCGGGGCCTCTGGGAGCCTTCTGGTGGTGTGGGGGGCCATCTGACGTTTCAATTCGGATTCCCCCCCTTTGGACTCTCTTTGGAGGTTTGGAGGCGTCTTGGGAGGCCTCTGGGGCCGTCTTGGTGCCCTCTTGGGCCGTCCCGTGGCCGTCTTGGGGGCCTCGTGGCTTGAATTGTGGCAATATTGCGGGCTGAATCGGCCGTCCTAGGCGGTCCGAACATTGAGAAGACGGTAGCGCAATCATCAGTCACACATTTTAGCAGCATTCGCTATGTTTGGCCTCCCGGGGGCCTTTGGGACTTGTGCTTGACAGGCCATCTTGAGTCCTAGTGTATGGAGGCCATTGTGGAACCTGCCGCCCATGGATCCGGACTCGAATCACCTCTCGGAGCTCTCTTGGGGTCCCTCGGGACGCTGGCGGAGCGCTCATGGGGCCCCGGGAATTCTGGCATCCGTGACACCGACCGCCCAGGAGTTGCCCAGGAGGTGTTGTGGAAACCGAAAGGCCTCACAGACGCCATGCCGGGGCATAGTTGTGCCGAGGTAGTGTGGCAGATACAGGCGCGCTTGGCGCAAGCCGGGCTTGGTGATAAAGACGCATGGTTTGCATTATCCATGGATTTGACAATTGATTTGACCGTGCTTGTCAATCTGCACGCACTTGTACAGCACTAGCACCTTCCAGCGTGTACTCATGCTTTGAACAATTACCAGAAGCTTACCCGTATGCTGTTTGTAGATAGCCAGCTTTGCAGGGTGGCAATTCGGTTGGGGTGCCTCAAGGGTGCCCACTTGTTTGTTTCTTCAGAAATCTGACCTCGGTCCCTACGGCGTTGCACTACTCGTACTTCGAGGACCAGTTCGTCATGGCGCGCTCCTGGGACGACCTTGAGGCGATTCTCGCTGCTACCCAACGCGTGGACCTCGCGATCGGCCGGGTGCCGGGTGCTCAAACTGCGGAAATGTGCGCGGGGCGCGGTCGTCGCCAACGGACGGCGGGCACCCCGCTGCAGTAGTCACCTTTTGTCTTGTATCGAGTACCGCAAGAGTTTCCGCTGCTAGGGTATTTCCCTCAGCATGGGCCAGGCTTCACCTGCACCAGTGGCTGCCCGGCGAATTGCTGAATATCGTATGCGACTCGGAATGGCACGGCTTCTTCGTTACTCTCAGCGAGTCGCCGGCGCTGCGGACGTCACAGTGGCTCCATGCGCACAAGGCGGTTTCGCTTACACCAAGGGCCAGTTCACGTCGGCGGTGTCTGTGGCGGCCACCTCGCTCATGGGCAGCGCGCGCCCCGGGAGGTTGTCAGGCGCTCACGGCTCATGGAACACAGTATCCGGCCCAGCCTGCATCGGACTCATGTGCCGCGCGTGGTGATTCGCATTGCTGTCCGCACGTTCTTCCGCTTGCTGCTTGAAGATCTTCTTCGACCACTTGTGTTGCGCCGCCTGTGGCAGACCCAGTTTGGTCCTTTTCTGCAGCTGAACAGTGTCTGTACCTTCCTCGGGATCCAGTGGGTCTCTGCCACCAAATTCACGTGCGGGACGAGAGCGTTCGACTTTCGTATCTCGCCAGAGACTCTGGCATGCGCCAAGTGCGGCGCATCCAGGCGACTTCGATGATTGGCTGATGTATCCAGTTGCCAAGCGGCTGCGTGATCTTCGCGTCTTGTTTCGTTATTGTGTTACTACTCAAGAGGCTGCCCGGCGCCTGCGTGATTTTGATGGTCCTGAAGTAGGGTTTTGCGAAGTACGAACAGTTCGTGGACATATTTTTGTTTTGGACGCAGCTGCATGTCGGATGCCAGCGCTGACTCTTGGGGGTTGATGGACAGAAGTAAACATCACCGATATCGTTTTCCACAGCCACGATGCTACCTGCGTTCGTTGCCGCGCCGGCGTGAGGTTTGTCGCGCTCCGACAGTGGCACTGCCCGCGCAGCCAGGACCAGCGCCGCGCCCCGGACGGCACCGCACTGGCCCAGCGCAGCTGCTCGCGGCGCCTCGCAACCCCCGCAGTCGTCGCCCGTCAACCGCGCGGCTCGCCGGTGCCGACCCCGCGCGGCTTCTGGCCGCCGCGCGCTGCGAGGCCCTTCGCCCGGCATCACAGGGTCGCCTGCAGGTCTGGCGGCCGGGCGCCCGCGCCTGGCCAATCCTGCGGCTGGGCGTTCCTGGTTTTCCTTTTGCGATGCGCGCGCCGGCCAGGTCGGCCGCCCCTCCCCTTCCCTGTTTCCGCCCCGCCGCTTAGGTGCTCTCTTCCGGTGCTTCGTCGGGGATTTTTTGGGGGCCTCTCAGGGGTCTGGGGTGTGTTGGAGGCCTCTGGGGGATCCCGGAGTCCTCTCCGAGGTCTCTGGCGGCCTCCTGCTCCCGCTCTTGGGCTCATATTGGGCCTGTTCTGCGGTGGTCTGGAGCTGTCCAGGGCGCGTCTTCGACAGTCTTGGAGCCGTCTTGGCCCGTCTTGGGGCCGTCTTGGGGCCTCTTGGGCGGTCTCGGGGCGGTCTTGGGGGCCTCTTCGGCCGTCTTGGAGCGTTGGAAGCATGAAATAGTGAGGAGGCCAAAAATCATGAAACAAACCATGAACATTAACGAGTTTGGGTTCTCCGGGCGCTCTCGGGAGGCCTTTCGGAGCTCTCTTGAGGTCTCTTGGAGGCCTCCTGGGAGCCTGGAGAGCAGCCCGAAAGCTATCTTGGGTTTCTTGGGAGCGTCTTGCGCCTTTCTTTGACGTTCTGGGGGTTTCTTGGGGTCGTCTTGGGCTGTCCTTAGGCGTTTGGGGGCTCCCTGGGAGGTCGGGAAGCGCGGTACCGGGAGCGTTCCGCAGATGTTCCGGGAATGTGTGGGACCCCCGGGAGGGAATCTATGAAATTCCTTATTGTTTTTCAAATTCCTCGGTCTTGGAGTGTTGGAAGCCGGAAAACGTGAGAAGGCGAAACAAGTTTACAACAATTACTGAAAGTCTGTGTTTTTACCCTGTTCGGGCTCTCTCGGGACGGCTCTCGAAGCTCTCTTGGGCTGTTTTGGGGGCCTCGTCGGAGTTTTTTGGGGGGCCTCTCAGGGGTCTGGGGTGTGTTGGAGGCCTCTGGGGGGTCTTGGAGTCATCTCCGAGGTCTCTGGCGGCCTCCTGCTCCCGCTCTCAGGCTCATATTGGGCCTGCTCTGGGTGGTCTGGAGCTGTCCAGGGCGCCTCTTCGGCAGTCTTGAGACCGTCTTGGCCCGTCTTGGGGCCGTCTTGGGGGCCTCTTGGGCGGTCTCGGGGGCCTCTTCGGCCGTCTTGGAGCGTTGGAAGCATGAATTGGTGAGAAGGCCAAAAACCCTGGAACAAAAACATTTATATTAACGATTTTAGGTTCTCCGGGCGCTCTCGGGAGGCCTCTCGGAGCTCTCTTGAGGTCTCTTGGAGGCCTCGTGGGAGCAATTCTTTTACGTTCTGGGGCTTCTTGGGGTCGTTTTGGGCTGTCTTTGGGCATTGTGGGGGCTCCCCGGGAGGCTGGGAAGCGCGGTACCGGTATCGTACACGAGATTTGAGCGAGGTGGAGGTCGCCTTGGGAGGGGCCCCAGCGTATACATACATACATACACATCTACATATATATATATATATATATATATGTGTGTACATTTATATATGTACATACATTACATTACACTACATTACATTACAGTACAGTGCAGAACAGTACAGTACAGCACAATACATTACACTACATTACATGACATTACATCACATTAAATTACATGGCATGACATGACATTACATTACGTTACATTACATTGCGTTACATACATACATGACCGTATATAATTTAGCATGCAATACAAATGTATGTATATATACACATATACATACATACATACATACATACATACATACATACATACATACATACATACAGACATACATACATACATACGTACGTATGTACGTACATACATACATACATACATGCATATTTACTTATTTACGTACTTACTTACTTGCATACATACCTACATACAACCACATACATACCTATACATACATACATTCGGACAGACAGACAGACAGACAGGCAGGCAGACAGACATACATACATACAGGTATACAGACATACATGCATACATACAGACATACAGGCAGACATACATATACATATATATATACACCTATATATATATATACACATAGGAAACATATCCTGGCCTTAACATTCCAAATATCAAAACGCGTTCACACGCATAGATTACGTATCCCAGGGATGCTTTCCGTGCGGGGCATCGGCGCAACATTGTCCTGTTTCCACGGTGTCGCGGCCGATGGGTCTGGACTGCGAGGCCGTAGATATGCATGATTTGTTCCCACCCGCCCGATCAAGAGTCGGGAAACGGCCTTGTTCTATTGTTTCGTCCAGCACCCACTGGCTAGTACGTCGCTTCGAGTTGTGTACAGCTGATCCCATGTGAATGCAATCTCTTGACATCAGGCGCTCGGCATTGAGGCTGTGAGGCGACTTGCGTTGATACAGAGCTTTAAGCGGCTGTGGGTTGTGAGCGGGTGAGCGATTACTACCCAGGAGAGGAGACGCCGGGAGAGGCCAGCACAGGCGTAGGAGACGCTTCGGGGCGGCGCGAGGATGGGCTTCGTTTGCGTCGAGACGTGGGACTCATGCCGCACATCTGCTTGAGGGCTGCTGATTCTGCCCGCTCCTTCCTCGAAGCGCACGCGCGCCGTGGCAGCCTTTCGCTGCTGCCGAGCCGAGATTGGGTGCTGCTGTGCTGCTCCTTCTTCGTGCGGTGCCACACTGAAGTCACAGCCTCGCCTCGGCTTGAGAGGGACTCGGCTCTCCCCGCCCCCGTCGCGCCCACAGGCCTCGAGACGGAGGAGAAGCCGCGGCGTGCACGGCCACGGAGTGCCAGGATCGGGTTCCTGGGCTTGCTCGTCGTCGCCGTTGTCACTGTAGGCCTCGACGTCCTTGGGCGGGATCTCTCCCCCACCTGCCAGGCTGGGGCTGTCAGGTTCGAAGGGAACGGCCGCCCGCCACGCGTCTCGTGCATACCGCGGCCGCCGGGCCCCATGGTTCTCGGTCCTCCCACCCGCCAGCCTTGCATAGCGCAGAAAGGACGGAGAACATTCAGAGACTTCAGGCACAACATAACCTGCGTCACGACGTCACGCTGTCCACATATATCTGGAGCAAACATCAAGGACATGCACGTGCCAATGACCGCCATCAATAACCGACATCCGTGATATCCGTACATGCACACATCACGGACATAAGACACCGAGGAGTTTCCATCAGCAGTTGATATCAAGGACACGCACTAAGAACAATAGCAGTTGGCATCGTCAGGGCGTGCACCTTTAGCAGACACTCATTACATGACACATGTTCATGCACCAACATCATGACACCACGCACGCACACCAACTATTGCGGACCACCGCCGCGCCGCCCAGTGCCTTCTCAGAAACGCATATGTGGCCAAACGTTGGCCGACATATCGGACTATGGGCTCCCCCAGCCGTTGTGGAAACCCTTTGGGGAGCATTTGGGGGCGATCGAGAGAGAGAGAGAGAGCGAGAGAGAGAGAGTGAGACAGAGAAACAGAGAGAGAACAAGAGAGGGAGAAAGGAGAGGAGAGAGAGAGAGAGAGACAAACAAAAACGACAACAAGCCAACGAGAGAGAGAGAGAGAGAGAACACACATAAAGAATCAACACGATAGCAACAACATGGAGAAAGAGGAGGAGAAGGAGGTGGAGGAGGAGGATAACGACGAGGAGGAGGAGGACGACGACGAGGAGGAGAGGGAGGCCTGCTGGAGGCCTCTTGGGGCTCTTTTGGTTCCTTCTGGGGGCCTTCTGGGGGACTCTTGGGATCTCTGAGTGGCCTCTTCGTGGCATCCCGGGGGCGGGCCGTCGCAGTGCTTTCCTGGCCCATCTGACACCTTGGGTGGCCATCTTGGCGGGTTGTCCTGGGCCCTCTTGGGGCAGCTCCGGGCCGTCTTGGAAGTCTCTTGGGGCCACGTTGGCCAATCTTGAGACCCGCGGCCACTGAACTTCGAACGGGTGTGTGTGGCCTTCGTGTTGGCTTCTGCAGGGCAAACCAAGGCGAGGCGGATTGCACGCGATGAGTTCAAGCTAGGTCGAGATAGCCTCCATTTGTTTTCTAAGCAGCCTCCAGCTCGCCACAAGACGACCCGAGATGTCTCAAAGAGGACCCCCAGATGAGTTCACTAGTCCAGTCTCGTCCAAACCCCAGATTGCTGATTAAATGGTTGTCATGCCCTCCGCTCTGCGGTCTTCAGAGTGTCTGAGACGGCCCAAGAGGCATTCAATATTGCTTCAAGATTGTCACTGAGGTCCACAGGGAGACTCAGGACGGGCCCGGTTGCCAGCAAAAACATCGCCGAAGGATCACCAAGAGGGCCCACGGATGGCCCAATGCCACTCCGAAGCTCGAAAGGGCCAACAGCGCCAGGCGTCGTTGGCGCTGAACCGGTCCGACATGACCTCAGGAGAGCGCCCAGGCTCCAAGAGGCCCCGCCATAGCCCGCACAAAGGCCCCATACCGCGTGGCTGAATTTTGGTCGGAGCGGGCTTCGTCGCGGCGGGCTGGGCAAGGCTTTGCCCAGCCAATCCCCCCTCAGCCGCCGCGCGCGGAGGGGGGGGCGCCAGCGCGCGAGCGGGGCCCCGCTGCTCTGTTTGCGGCTAGCAGCACTAGCGGCGTTTCTGGGAAGCCCCCTCCAACCCTCAAATTGGAGGCTGCGCCGCCCATCCAGGATTGCTCACTTTACCTCGTCATTCTCCCTGCGCTTGGCCAGGGGCGGGCGCCGCGCCGGATTGCCGGCCGCATTTATGTCAGAAGCAAGCGGGGAAGTGTTGCGACGTTGGGGCAGAGGGAGGCCCCTCGCTACGCAGGCGGAGAAGAGGGGGATGGAAGAGGAAGTTGCGTACACCACCTAGGCCCAAAATGGTGGTGGAATTTAATAGAAATCGTCGCCGTGGTGGTCTGGCCCCTTATAATTCTTGGAACAGATTCACTCCTGCCTCCGTCAATCTATAACCCACCCGCTCGCCGCTGCGGGCGCTTGACCCAAGCCTTTGGGCGGGGGGGCCTCTGTCTGACTAGGAGGCGCGTGTCGCGTTTCGGGAGTTGGGAAAGTCGGGCGCCAGCTCTCCGCGCGCGCTGCCTCGTCTCCATAGGTCAGCGCGACCAGGCGCATCCTGCGAGAGGTCTTTCTATATAAAAAAGCCCCCCCCCCCCCCTCTGAGGTGGGATAATTTAGAGGACGCGCGCCGCGCGCGTCGGGCTGTTTTGCAGATTGCGCCAATCGCCCGACCAGAAGCAAGTCATCAGCCGAAAAGGAGCAGAGCTGCGCATCTCGTTGAAGGTTCGCATGCCCCCCCCCTGCGCTCGTGGAGATTCATTCTCCTGTTGGTGGCAGCGGTTGTTCGCGTTGATGGCGGGTCGCGGATGTCCTCGATGTCGCCGCGCGTCTTTCCCCGCCGCCCGGGGTTGCTGGGCCCTCGTTTTGAAGAGACAGCGCTTGGCGCCCTTTAAAAAAACACACACGGCTGCCTTCTCTTGTGGAGAGGTCCATGCCGCGACGGATGCGGAAGAGAGCAATGTTCGCCCCTTGCTATCGGGCGCGGACCAGTCTGGGACTTTCCGCGCGCGGGAGAGAACGGCATCACCCTGCGCAGATGACATTGGTCGCAGATGAGGAGGCTGCGGCCAAACGCCGCAGAGGTGAAGCAATGCGCCCGCCGTGTTCTGGCCGTTCGCGCAGCGCGGCGGTATTTGTCCGAACCAGACGCGGCGCGGGGCGATCGAGCAGTGGATAGCACGAGGGTTAAAATGCGACCGAGCAGCTAGAAGGGAAGCGCAAGCGGTGGGTTCCAGCTGGCGAAGAGCAGCTGGCGCGGAGAACCTATATATATATATATATATATATATATATATATATATATATACGTGTGTATCTAATTGTGGACGTCTCGTGCGCGCGTGCCGATCGTGGCGCTGGTTGCAATGGGGGCAAGACAAGGGTTTCGCGACCGCGTCGCGGTCAAGGCGCAGGGGCTGCTCGACGAATGGCGGGCGGGCGAATTCGCCGCGGGGGAGGTTTTGACGGTGGGCCATCGGTTTTTACTTAACAGCTTGTTCTGATAGGTTTCTAGTAGGGTCAAAAGAGAGCAGCAGATGACTCCACAGGGGGGTCTGGGCGGGTGCCGGACAGGGTGCCGCAGAAGTCGTTTTAAGCCAACAGTCACACACTTCGTGCTCTTCGACCTCCCAGAACTCCATTCCCGGGCCACATTCTGAATGCCCGGAGCCAACTGTAGGCCACTTCGTGCTCTTCGACTTCCCAGAACTCCATTCCCGGGCCACATTTTGAATGCCCGGAGCCAACTGTAGGCCACTTCGTGGTCTTCGAGTCCTTAGAACTCCATTCCCGGGCCACATTTTGAATACCCGGAGCCAATTGTAAGCCATTTCGTGCTCTTCGAGTTCCCAGAACTCCATTCCCGGGCCAGATTTTGAATGCCCGGAGCCAACTGTAGGCCACTTCGTGGTCTTCGAGTTCCCAGAACTCCATTCCCGGGCCAGATTTTGAATGCCCGGAGCCAACTGTAGGCCACTTCGTGGTCTTCGAGTTCCCAGAACTCCATTCCTGGGCATGATTTTGAATGCCCGGAGCCAACTGTAGGCCACTTCGTGTTCTTCGAGTTCCCAGAACTCCATTCCCGGGCCACATTTTGAATGCTGAGGCAGGCTGATGCTGAGGCAGGCTGAGGCTGAGGCTGAGGCTGATGCAGGCTGAGGCTGAGGCAGCCTGAGGCTGACGCCGAGGCTGAAGGCAGACTGAGGCTGAGGCTGAAGCAGGCTGAGGCTGAGGCTGAGGCAGGCTGAGGCTGAGGCAGGCTGAGGCTGAGGCTGAGGCAGGCTGAGGCTGAGGCTGTGTCTGTGACTGCCGTTGCCACTGCGACTGTCATCGCGAATGCGACTACGACTGCGAGAACAGCACAATTCTACAACTGGATTCTCATCTGAATCTTAAGGGGAATGCTTCCAGATATGCTCCTACACATCGCTGTTAGGTTGCTTTGCCGGGATACTTATTTCTGCAAGCAGGAGTTCTTAGCGGGGCGATCCATCTGTCTGGGAACGACGCAAGGAGGCCCCCTTGATATTCGCGAGCGGAGTCGGTCCCTGGACGACGCTGGCTCGCCAGTGATTGCAGGGGGGGAATTTTATCAAGTCTTGAATGCGCGCGGCGCGTAGTTTACTTCGGCGGCCATCTCGCTGGGGAGATGCTTCTCTGGGGCGGGGTGTCGATCTCCCGCCGAGCGCGCCCCCCCGCCCCATTGGCTCGCAAGCGTTCGCTGCCCCGGCCGCCCTGTGGAATCGGGCGCGAAGAGACAGCGGGGGCGGCGGGGCCGACGAAGCTCCTGCCGAAGACGCGGCGTCGCGGCCTAAGGGGCAGGGGCGCGACGGGAGAAGCGACGGGGGCCAAGCAGGGCGGGCCGCGGGCGAGTCTGGCGACCGCTTGGAACATCGAAAACCAGAGTCGTGAGAAAGGAGACGAGACATTTCGCAGCAGAGGGCCGATGAAACCGGCGGCGCGGGCGGGGCGATGGATCCTCGGGCGGTCAAGGCAGGCGCCGCGAAGCTGGCGTCGCCAGCGGCGGCGACGGGGGCCCCGGGAGCGGATGGCGCGAAGATGAATGGAAGGGCGCGCCCCGGAAGTGGAGGGGCCTGCCTGGGAAGCGAGAGGGCGAGCGCGGCATGTCTTCGCGGTCTCGCGGCCCTGAGAAGACATCGGACAAGAAAGACAACGACGACGGCGGCTGCCGTTGAAGGAAATCGAGGGCGCCGCGGACCGATGCGACGCCTGTGCGACTGAGCGATCAGCGCTGGGGTGCCACGCGGGCCTGTCGAATAGAGTTGGGGGCCGTCGAGCAGCGGGGCCTCCGCCCGCGCGACGAGGATAGGCGCCGCGCGGAAGGCGAGCGCTGCAGCGTGTCTCGGGGTCGGCGTCGGCGTTCCTGGGCGCGGCGCGCCGAAAGCCGGCGCGGGGGGGGCGCGCGGCCGCCCCGGGAACCGGCGCGGGGGGGGCCGATCACATTCATTCTTGCTTGCGTCGCTACATCGCCAATCCGCCCGCCGCCGCGGCCGTTTCGGGCGACGCTCGTCGCGCTTCCCAAGGGGGCGCCCGACTGGCGCAGAGGCGCGTTTCGCGCTTCGGTTGCTGGACAAGGGGTTGCCCGCTGCCCGCGCGCGCCGCCGCGACGTCATGAATCGACGCGAATGGACACATGCTGCAGTAGGCATTCTCCAAGGCGCCGCTAAGTTAAGGGGCAATGAAGGAGACGCACCACGCGCGTCGGGCCGTTGCGCAGACGGCGTAGATCTTCTGATTGAAGATGAACTTCTCGACGCTTCTCGCCTGCCCGCGAAGGGAAAAATATCGCCGGGCGAGTTGCCTTGATCAGGGAAGTGTAGCAGCATTCAGTGCGACAGCCGCTTTGGAAGCGTTTTCTCGGAGGTCGTTCGGGGCCGTCTTGGGTTTCTCTTGAGGTCCTCGCGGAGCCTTCTAGAGCACTTTTGGTGATCTCTTGGCGGGTCTAGCGGCCCTCTTGGAGCTTTCCGGGGTGTTTGGGGGTACTTCTCGGGGCCGTTTCGGGCCGCCCCACGGGTTCATTCGAGATCATTTTGGCGGAGATCGATTAAAAAAAGGGGGGAGGGGGGGGGGTAAATCTAAGCCCCCCCCCATCGGAAGCTTGAAGTTGGCCTCTTGGGGGCGCCTGGGCCTCTCTCGGGCGCCTCATGGGCGATTTGGGCGCCGTGTTGGGTTCGTGTTGGGCCGTTGTGGGGGTGTTTTCTAGGGCTATCTTGGGCCCGGCAAGAGGCCCCGATAATTCATCGGAAGCGAACAAGCGAAAAACCAAAACATCTCCTCATGTTGGAGGGTTTCGGCATGTCGGGAAGTGCCTTCGGAGGCGGGGGTAGCATTTGGAACCGTCTTAGGGTTATTTTGGAGCGTCTTGGAGGCTTGTCCGAGGCTACCTGGAACGACGCGAACGTATACGGAGCCATCGTGGAGGCCCTCGTGGGCTACCTGGGTTCCTCCCCGTAGCTATCGGGAACCATCTTGGGCGCGCTGCCGGCTCCATGCCCCCGCCCTTGTTTCCCGAGGCCCGGGGGTGGGGTGGGGGGGGGGTCAAGACCCCCTCAAGACCTCCTCCCCGCCCGCAAGCCGTCTCGCTCACTCCCACCCGCCCTCCCAACACATACGTAACACCCGAGTCTGGCCCGAGCCTCAGCATATCCAGCGGTCGTCTTTGGATGGGCAGCTACTTGGAGCCAATCCGCCGCCGCCGCCGCCGCCGCCGCCTCCGCCGCCGCCGCCGCCGCCGCTGCCCGCCGCCGCCGCCGCCGCGCCGCCGCCGCGCCGCCGCCGCCGCCGCCGCCGCCGCCGCCGCCGCCGCCGCCGCCGCCGCCGCCGCCGCGCCCGCCGCCGCCGCCGCCGCCGCCGCCGCCCGCCGCCGCCCCCCGCTGCCGAACCGCCGCCGCCACCGCACCGCCACCGCCACCGCCGCCGCCGCCGCCGCCGCCGCCGCCGCCGCCGCCGCCGCCGCCGCCCCCGCCGCCGCCGCCGCAGCCGCCGCAGCCGCCGCCACCCCCGCCGCAGTCGCCGCAGCCGCCGCAGCCGCCGCCGCCAAGTGTATTCTGTATTGTTTTTTGACAGGGATGGTGGGGTGGTGGTGGGGGGGCGCATCGGGTTGGCTGCGCGTGTTCCGAATTTGGAGGCAGAGTGTGTTTTGAATTGTTTTTTACTCGGGATGGTGGGGGGGGGTGTCATGGACCCTGATTGGCCCCCGGTCGCCTGGGGGAGGGTGTGTTCATTAATAGGGAACACTGATATTTTTTCCACCGAGCAGGGGAAGGAGGGGTTGTGGCGGGGAGCTGCGAACAACTCGTTGGGCCATTCGGCCCAGACGGTTTTTGGGATGTTTTATAGATTTGTTTGCCCGCGGAGCGAGTCTCCCATTTTATGTTTCGAGGAGTTGCAAGGGAGCCAGGAGTTGGAAGGCGCGGCCAGGGGAGGCTGTAGGGAGGCCCCTACGGGGCCGGCGGGGGGAGCTGTAAAGAAGGGGAAGGATACAACTACGACGTCGAAGCTCGGCCATGACCATTTAAACACATGGGAGTCAATGCCATTTGCCATTTGACGGCTCGCAGCTTTTAGGCCCCGCAGGATGGCCGCTGGATTGTGGCGAGATTGCCCAGGCCCAACTGGGTTCGCGGATCTTCAAAGGGTTTCGGTTCGTTTTTAGATCCACGCTGACACGCCGTAGTTGTTTAATGTTTCAGGTTTGCGACTTAAGCATGGTAGTGTTGTTCGTTGAGCGACTGAGTCATTGGACCCACGCGGCCACCAGCAGTCCAACACATGTCCAAACAGCAAGGGCGCAGGAATGGTTTCTTTTTTTTGTTTCTGCGTGTGAGCGCGCAGGGGGCGCGGGGCAATGTATATGTTATATGGACCGATGCCGTTGGCTCACCCATTCGATATAATCCGATCGCCGAAACCATAGCCGTTCGTGTCTGCAGTCGCGCAAGCACTGGGAAGCTTTCTTACTCGTGCGAGTGTTTGGGCTCTATTCCCACGCCTGTGCTCTGTGCGGCCGCCTTCCCAGCGGGCCAGTAGGCCCGACCTTTTTCGACACATCTGAAGAAGTATAAAGCGAAAAAGTATCAGCCGACCCAGTGGGGCCGAATGCGGTCGGTCGGAGGATTGCGCGGCATCGCCATCGAAGATGCGGCGCGATCCAGAGTCTAATTGTCTCCATTCCGATGTCGCCGGTGCATCGCCGATGCGCCGGCGACGCGGTGCTTCCATCTCCATGTGCTCTCGCACTTTGGAGGCATCTGAGGAGGGAACACCCAAACCTGTGTAAGTACCTCCTATAGCCTCAGGGAGCTGGCACATCCTGGAGTTTCATTTTTTCATGCCTCCGAGCCCTCTTCTGCCCCTGTCCTGAGATTTCGGAGTCTCTGCCACGGCCCAGCGCGTGATGGCCCTCAGTTGTTAGACAATCAGGATGGCTGGAGCAGCATGGAGATGCCGCTGTGGCCCAGCAGCGTGCTACTCCTCGCGGGCGGGAAGCATATCCATATCCACGGCTTCGCGGTCCAAGTTCGTGGCCGCGGTTCCGTGGATACGGAGCGGCTTGACGCAGATGCCTCCCGCGGGATCTTTCATCCATGGGTGCGGTCTTCGGCATCCAGACCGCGAGCGCATCGGTAATTATGGACATGCTCGCCGCTCGTGATCACTCCTACCCTGGCCGCGCGTGCGGCAAGGGGGGTTTGCCTGCGCCCCGCCCCCGCGCCCTAGGAGTCCCGGTCGAGATCTGCACCGTCCAGGATCATGTCGCCCAGCTGCAGGCGCTGGCAGCCCAGCGAGCGCCCTTCTCTCAGCAGTCCCTGCCCATTCTGAACGAGTCGGCGTCGCCGCAGGCGTGTTCCATTGGGGACAACGTCGCCTGCCCAACAGCGGCTGCAGTCGGCTTTGGACAGCGTTCGCTGCTAAACGTCGTGCCCTTTTTTTCCGGACCCGTGTCGGGCGTGCCAATCGTATGGAGCCCTGCGCCACTCCCCCCCCCCTGGGCGCGCCGGCGGCGCACCCACCGCTCGACTCCGGCGCCCGCTGCCCACTTGCACTGGCTCTATCTGGCCCTGGCTGGGCCGATCCCGGGCCCAGGACCTTGTGCGTTCCATGATCACCCGACGGGATGGACCCGACCCGCCATCCGCCCCCGTACCCTGACGTGCCCCCCCGCGTCTTCGTGTGTATAACGGTTGTCGATTGAGTCGTCATTTCTGAAGAAAATTTATGATTGAGCCCCCTCGGTTAATAGATGTGTTTTTTCCGCCTGGACTCGCACCTGATTTGTCACAAGGGAGAGTCTGGAGCCTCAGATCGAGCCCCTGGCCCCCGAACTACAACAACGACAACGCCGGCTCGGGCCTCATACTTCGTCAAAATGTATTGAGGAATCGCGGCCAGAAATCGCGCTCTCGCTTTCGCCTTCCTAACAATGTATTCACCCACGGCCTCGTGGCCCAGGCTCTTCGGACACGACCCCGTGGATACAGGGTGGCTTTTCGAGGATGCCCCGCGAGGAGCGTATCCGCGGGCTCGCGCCCCTGCATTCAGACCGCGAGGGAATGGATGTGGACATGTCCGTCGCTCGTGAAGATCGGCATGGATCGGCGTCTTTGACTCCCAGGCCAAGCCACGAGAGGAGGGCTTATACACCGATCGTGGGCCCAGGATGGGCCTGGCAACTTTGGTTCTCCAGGGTCCAGGGGATGCACCTACCTCGTTGTCGGCGTTGTCCAATCCTTGGTACCGAAACGGGGGCGTGTTTACGTGTCCCACGGCGATGACGATGATGGGGCACAGCGCTGCGAACGCTGATCGTCGCAGTGCCGACGCTTCGTGAACATGTGACAATGATGAGAAAGGGGGCGTGGTCCAACGCCCGAACCGTTGGGCGGGCTGCCAGGGGTGTCCATCCCGCCGTGCCGCAAATTGCTGATCACGCGAAATTCCATGGGGCGCCCAGGAAATGTCGTGGCCCATTTCGTGCCCTATTGCGTATCCTTTTGTGATCGTTGGAATTTGCGGTTACGCACCAGAGCACCAGCGTGTGATCTGGGTGCGGTAACGACTCGCTGCTCACTGTTTGTGCCATCTTTCCCCTAGGGTCGACTACACGTAGGAGTGGCCCTAGGCCACAGTGACCTTTGGCGCGCGGCTTCAAGGGCGCCCGTGGGGGCCCAACGCAACCTTGCAAGCCAGTACGGCCGCGCCGCATCAACAATCGGCGGGACGCCACTGGAAAGACCAGTTGCGCCAGCGGGCAAGCGCGGAATTCCACCAATTGGATCCGAACGCCCCGAATTGTACTTCGAAGGCGCTGCGGAAGCAGACGCTGCCAGGGGCCACCATGATGAGGTCTGGCGCTGCCAGGCCGCATCGCGATGACGTCTGGCCAGGTCTGGAGTCATGGCCAAAAGCGGCCCTGTCCGCGGGCCTGGAATACGTCTGAATATCCGCGTGTAGCTTAAACTATTAAAGATACCCGTTAGTTCAATCAATATGTCCAATGATATTCAAATCGATCCGAAGATATTCGAAGCTGTTCGAAGATGTTAAACTGGACGTTTTGGGATCTGGGCTTGGATTCGGCACTGGTCCTGGGGAGGAAAACGCACCGTTCGGTCAGCTTGCCCCCCCGGGAAACCAATGTGCATTGTAGGGTACGCCGTGGCTGCGTTGCTGTCGATCGACGGGGCGCTCAAACCTTGCGCGTTCAGATGCGAGCGCAATCGCACCATGCGGGCGCCGACGCAAGGTCAAGCTCATTCCGGATGAGTTACCAGGCCCCAGCGGCGGCAGCGCCGACGCGGATTCCAGCAAAATGCCATTCTGAAGTTTAGTCGAGAGGGGTCGGCGTCTGCTTCGACCTTTCTCCGCCCTGCTCCTCTTCTTCCATTTTTGATAGCGCCATGATTGAGCTGTCCGCGGGCGATTGCTCGCTTCCTTTCTGCCGCCGTTGGAGCCGGGCCCCGCGCGGGCCCGCCAGGTGGCTCTCATTTGCGGGCGGCGCGAAAAAATTACGGCACGTTCATTCCGGTGCTCGCCCGCGCCTTCTCACTCTGAAGGGGGCGGGGCAAGGGCGAGAGGCATCGAGCGTCAGTCCGCGGCCGCTTGGGCCCGAGCGACGGGCCGCCAATTTGACCGCGCCGCTCCGCGGCGCCCTATCTGACATTGAAACGGAACACAGCCCTCTGAGATGTCTACTTGCCGCTCGCGCGGCCATCTGCCAGCTCTTGCTTTGCCGTTGCTGCGATGCAACAGGGTTGGGCGGATGCAACGCCCAAGGCGTAGTTGTTGATTGGGCCTGCCACCTCATTTTAAACTCAGCAGAGCGGTCCGTTGGTGGCCAGCTCTAGCTCCGCCCCTTACTATCCGCGGCGCTATCTGGTGGCCCACTGACATGGTGGGCCATGAGGGCGCGGTGGCCCCACGCGGAGGAGACCATGGCCATCGCGAGGATAGTTGCACAGAAACCTCTGCTCGCGCAGAGGTCTCCTACGCGAGCCCTACATCTCTCCGCCGCTGCGCGCCGGGAGCCCGCCCACCAGCGCCAGTGGGCAAATCCTTCGAAGATGCGACGCATGGCAGCGTGCGCTATGACATCGCGCCGCCTGCGCGCCCTCGCAAACAGACGGCGGCGTCACCTCGCAAACAAAGGCCACCTACAACCGACGCCGACCTACGAGTCCACTTGATTGGCATCGCTATATGTGGCCTCCTCTGGGTCGCCATCGGGCGCGCTGTTCGACGCTGCAGCGCGGCGCAGACGACGCGCGCGTTTCCGGCCCACGCTGGGCCCCTGCCGGTGACGTATCTTTCCGCGAATTCATTCGCGAGGTGCATGCCTGGGCCAACGCGGCCATGGGCGCCGCGACCCCCTCCCAACCGCTGCCCTGCAGCGTGGCCGCGGAGGTCTCGCAGGGGCCATTGTCACGCGACCCCCCCCGGCAGTAATCAATTTTGAAGTGAGCATTGGTGGGCGCCGCATTGGCGGGGCCACGTGGCGCTCCTCCTCAGAGCTACTAAGTTCGAGAATCTTGAAGACGAAAGACACTTGAATCCGGGGGCGGCTCTCGTCGGTTTTTCGCGCCCATGCGGGGGGGCGGATCGACCAAACGCTGGCGCGCTTCGAGATCGCGCGCTCGGTAGCTGACACTGCGGGGCTTACCGTCCCAAATATACAAATCCTGACAGTCGCGCGGTTCGGGGCCCTAGGTGTCGGCGCTTCGCGCGCGCGACGCTGACTGCGACCGTTGAATCAGCAACAAGTCGGCCCCCCCCCGGAGCGCGCGAGGGCTTGCGCCCGCGTTGCCGAGCGAACCGCCGGTAACACCTGTGGCGCATTTATCCGCGGCCACCGCGCCGATGCCTTCAACCGCGACGCTCATGCGGGGCGACCTGCCGGCGCCATCTGGAACCGCGGTCCACTACCAAATGAGGCCGCCACTTCATTGGGCAGACAAGGTGGCCAGCCCTCGGGGCCGCTAGAATCCCGGGCTCAATGTCAGGGGCCGTCGGCAACGGCGGCCCCGTGCCCGAGCCGCTACCTTAGTGGGCTCGGCGGGGCAGCCCGCAGAGTCCGACTTCGACTCGGGCACCGACGCCGAATCTTCGTCAGACGAAGGCGTTGGGAACCTAGACTTTTTTTCTGAAATGCTTGCGCATCTCACCGAGGAACAGCAAGCACAACTGATATTCTTGGGAAATCAGAAGCATTGGCGCCGACGGAGACGTTTGCGCCGAGACCAGTTCGAAGGGAACGGCGCGCGGTCCGACGCGCGCATGGGTCAGAGGGCAAGGGTGGGCGCAAGGGTAGACTACGACGGTTGCACGGTAGGGGCATGCGAACATCCCCGGCCTCTCTTACGGGACCACAATATGAGAGGGTCTTCCTGGGGGGGGCTAGAGGCCGCAGACATACCTCCAGAAAATGCAGGGGGCGTCGGGGCAAACCGAAGGGTTCCAACGGGAAGACAGTGGACTGCGATATCTGCCATATGACCCAGCATTCTCGTCGTGAATGCCCCCAGGTGACGGGAGAGGCAGGGGGGGTCTGTCGATGCATGTGGCTCAGACCGTTTCTGACATTCAGCATGTCGATGCAGTATGTTGATTTCGAAGCCTTTTTGCCGAATCAGAAGATGTCTCCACTGCTGCTGTGCATTTCACTTCTGCGAGATACACGCGCGCCAGCCTGTCCTTCGAGGAGGTGCGCCGAGGAGCTCTACGAGGAGGTGTTCGTTGGCCACGACGAGGTCCATCTCGCAGATTGGCTGGGCACTCCGTTTTCGGGGCAACCTGCTTCCATGGGGATCGTCGAGGAGCCCCGATCATCCGCTGACTCAGACTACGAGATGGAGGGGGCACCTGCGCGCCCCGACGGATGCGAGCCGGACGACTCTGATGACGATGCGATACCGGCCGCGGAAGAGGAGCTCCAATTGGCGCTCCAACCGCGGGCGACTCGGAATCCCATTCGCAGGGTAACCGGCGATGAAGATCCCTTTCGGGGTAACCCGCGTGGCGCTGCTGATCTTTCTGGGCGGATCCAAAACGCGCTTGGACATAATTATGGCTCTCTGTCTACCGCTGCGCTGCGCGACCGCCCGTCAAGCCGCGCGGCTTGGAGACGTAGATCGGACTGGCGACGATGATGAGTCATGGGCTGCTGAGAGCAACTCGCCACACCATCATCGGCGGAGTCATTCTCGCAGGCGTTCGCGCGCCCGCTCAAGCGAAGCGTGGCGCCCGCGCCGGCGAGATCCGAGCGGGCCGCCAG